TCGAATTTGTGTTCTCTTGTTTTAATTATAGTCTGAGGTAACGTAGACTAATCGATTTTTCGTACTATTAAGTTACGAGTCATTGGATTTGAGGTCTTCTTTCATTTTTCGATTAAAATGTTTGACTTTATCGAACATTAGCAATTCAGTCTTGTAACTCAGTTGTCTGCAATAACTCAATCGAACTGACTTTTTCATAATTTTAATACTAGACTTCAGAAAACAAAATATTGAATTAATTAGATGAGAGTGACTCTCGTCAGTTGATTATCAAACTGTTATTTTAATAACACGAAATCGTATTAAGTGGATCCAGTTGCATCTTCTTTCAACGTCAGTACTTATAGAAGGCTGGAAGCGGAGAAGGATTTTTGACGGTGGTCATTGGGTTAACTGAACTGGCGCCTAACTTATTAATTTTTGATTTTATTTTTGCGAAATGACATCGCAACTCATTAAACTAATCAATGTTAAAATGTTCCCAAGTCGAAGGCCTTTAAGATTTTTTGTTGCTAGATCAATTATTAATGAACAATTGGAATGGCAATTTTTCGGAAGGAATTTTTTCTCCGTGGAACATAATTTTAACGGAGATAAATCATGAGTGATTGTTAAATTATTTTTCAACATTGTGCGCTCATACTTTTCACTAATTCTGTTTTGCATTCCACTGGATTGTATAGATTTTCCATGCGATAAATTTAGTCGATGCTAAATAAAAAAATGTAATTGTTTAATTTTGGTTCGATTTGTTCACACAAATGACGAAAAATAACAATTGTCATTGAGACAATGTTCTAAACATTGCAGATATTCTTAGTCACGGTACATCCTTATAATTTTTGCCTTCTACTCGACTATTTCTGATTGAAAAATCATAAATAAATTTGTTGATCATAATTCATCACTTTCAATTCAATAGACAGTTGAGGGTGAAAGGAAATATAATGAGAACAACTGTCATTAAAATATATTAAACTTCTGAAAAAAAAGTTTTCTCATTGAAAATCCAATCTTCCGCTTGAACAAATTTTTAGTGAAAAACAAGGCTTCCATTCGTCAGCAAAAAAACCTGTTTAAGGGTGTTGATTTTTTTATAAATGATTTATCGATCATATATACAATTATAGAAAATGTGAACACAAGATCCAGTGAATACTACAGATGATTTCAGAAAACCTTGAAAATCATTTGTTTACGAACTTATATTTATTTATTCACTTATATTTATTTTACATTATTGATAAAACTTTTGGAAAAAATTAACACACCCTTTCGGGCGCACATACATACATATTTAGTTTCCGAAAAAATTTGCGAATTGAAAAATCAACGGGTTAGAAGGCTACTATTTAGAAATAAAAAGTACAAGAATTACTGGATTTTATAAGAGATTACCAGAATTTCAGACTATTATCGAAAGTCAAAGTTAATGGAATTATCGTGAAAGTTAAGAACCGGGAAACTTAGATTATACGAAATTTCGAAATAAGTACCCTTTAAATGAAATTGAGTTCAATTATTTGAATAATGTTATTTAGTGAGCCTAACAATTCTGCATTAATAATTCACTCATTGAACCTTTGAAATTGAAGAGATTATGAACGGAGATGAACAGTTCTCATTGCTCTGATCCTTCATAAAATGAGAAGGATAATGAATTAATTAATAATAATAATTAATTAATTATATTAATTAATAATTAATAATTAATTTTGCAGAAAAAAAGAAGAAAATTGAAAAAATGAAGTAGAAAAAGCATAATAAAAAGGCATCAACGTTGCAGCCGCTTGCAGTCATGGCGGCTCTAGCCATCATACTATAAAAAGGACAAACATCGAGACTATCGGTATCTCGAAAGTTTGTCACGCCCAGTCTTCGTTTGGACAGTCGTTTAAGGCAGTTCATTTGAATTCAAAATTCATTTCATTTCGAAATTTTCCCTGTAAGAATTCCCAAGCCTGCAGACTTGGCTAATGTGTTCGCCAGCATCTGTTTATTAAGGTGGTTGTCGCGCGACAGTCTCTGTAAAAAGTTTATCCGCTGTAAAACGGCCCAGTTTAGAACATAATCTTTTAGCGGTATACAGTCTCACTTGATTGATTGCATTGTGCATGGATAGCTAAAGCATAACTATATATTTTCCATATTAACTATTTTCAATTATATAAATTTATGAATTTCCGATAATTATATTCCGTAAACCAAACGGTCAATCGATTTGATTTTTTTTTCTGTATTTCCTCCCACGATGTATATTCCACGTTTTTTTTTTCTGAAACTGTCGAGCCGTTGATTTTTAAAAATTCTAAACGGCAAAACTCCATTTAGACACGTGTTAAATCACTCGAATTTCAAAAATTTATATCTCAAGGTCAAAACCGTCAATTGCAAACGGAAAAGGCTCATTTTGTAGCTAATTTTTCAAACTATTCACCATAAAATTGTTAACGAAAACTGTCGAAAAAAGATTCTAGGCGACAACAACTTTAATAGCGTGAAGTAACCGAGGACCATCAAACGAAAGATTATGGGCCACCAGAATTACTTTCTTCTTGAAGGTTTTCAAATATGCAATGAATTCCAACAAAACTGCACGTAAACTGAATGAGTCCTGGCGAACTCCATGTAGGTACAAATCTCCGCAAATATTAGTTAAGCCATGGGCTTCAGTTGCTTTCAAACCGATGGATTTCGATGCGCGAATATATTTTTCGAATGTACTCGACCCCGTGCATGCAGCAATTTGTAATAAGTCACAATTGCCACTGAGCCCAGAAGTCTCGAGATCAAAGAAAACCACCTGATAGTGGTCGTTGGCTAGATCCACTGAGCTATCATCGTTCAGGGGTACAGGTGAATTGACGACTGCTGTATCAATTAGCCCCATCTGCGAGCTATACGTAATGCCTACGTTCATTCCTGTGGCGAAGTGCATTACGTCTCTTCCTGACTTCAATTCGCTGTTTCTTGGATTCTCGATTCCAGGATTTATTTGCTTTGCGTATTGCAACTGTGTCAGTGCGCTGGACATGTTGACGAAGATGTTGACCTACATGTAAACCGAGTCTCTTGAAGGTTTGGATCACGTATTCCTCGCCTAAATCTTTTTCAGCCACGGCAGCGGCAACTCGGAAGTCCATTGACTCACTGAGGCTATAGCAGATGGATTTTGGGGCCTTTCGAGCTATTGCTGCGTTCA